TTCTTATGGCTATGCTTAGTAAATTCGAATCCTTTGAAATATTAAATGTATAAGAATTTATTTGAAAAACATACGTGCCGTCATTATCTATCTCATTGTTTGGTTTTTTATCATAATAATTTATGCTTTATTTAAAAATTTAAAATTATAATTAGCGTTTYGCTGTAGTATTAATGTGTATTATTCGTGTCCGATTCATATTCGATTTTTTTACGTGTGTCTGATAACTTATTATAACATACAATTCGTTATAATATACGTGGATACATGTACATAAAGTACATTTCGACATTTCGTGTCACGATAACACAACGAAATTGTTTTTTACATTGCGTTATCATAACGAAATAATCAAGTTGTATGGGTGCCCTAAGTTTAATTTTAATTTCCATTATATATATATATATATAGTATATATGATAAAAACATTATATTACATTATTACCTATGTAACATCATAACGATTTTTTCATCGGAAACGTAAAAAATATAAACAAATTGCGCCACAAAATATAATGTATAACTGTTAATAATTCATACCTGTCGTATTGCTACAACAGTATAAATGGTAAACATAATGTTAATTACCTAAGTAACATTTTTATTGGAACACTTCAAGTTTATTAGGCAATACAATAAAAAAAAATCAAGATGAAAGTTTGAAATGCGATTTAAGTGATTAAACTAATAAAACTAAATAAGTCGACGTAGGAAAAACTATCGTTACCTATACAGAGTTTGACCGCATCCATCCTAGTGGCACAATTAAAAGGAAGAGACTATAGGTGCTTATCACCCCAATACTAAGATTTAATCCTAAAAAAATTAATTGACTTTGAAATGTTTTTTTTTTGTGTTATTCTCAAGTTACAGATCTATACATTTTTACTTATCCGTAATTAATTAACATTAAAAATTCTAATGGTAAGATTATAATATCGATTATTGATGTGTACAATTTTGTGTGATTTTCATAATCGGTTATTTACTTGGCTCACAATTGTGTCACATTCATAAAAAAAAAAAAACATATATCGTCAGGTAGTATGTAAAACAAGTTTAGAGAACGCTTCGCTCAGAATCTAAAATGTGTAACATGGTATAATATGTAGGGGAGACGTAGTGTGATATGGAGGCRACCCTATCTCAAGTTATTTTAAGTCAGCAGCTTAAGTTAAATCTACAGCCTGCCCCAGAATTTTAACCCTAGTTAAACGCTCAAAATGTAAGGGTTTGACACACCACACGCCAAAACCAAAATTATTGGACACAAAACGTGGTACACTTTCGGTTCAAGGTTTTATTTTCACGGCGGTATAGAAATAATAAAACCAGCCAAAAGAATGATAATGACATTATGTACTTGTATGCGACGCATACATAAATGTGCGAACTTGGAACGCGCGTCTGCACTTTGCACACGACCGCACCCCCTACCGCACCCACCCGCCGACATCGATGTGGGTACACACTACGCGCACACTATACGGTCCGACCGCCGTTCATGTATAATGATATTATTATAATACCTAACGATAAGTGGGTGCGAGTTATTCAATTCGCGAAAATAATCAATAACATAGGTATCGTATTATCATTATTATCAGTAGGTATGTATATTATAAGTYAGTTCGTTGTCATACACCTGTCAAACGCAATCACCACCAACACGTACGTGTRTACGGCCGACGTCTATACACGAATGTCGGCACATTTATTCAGTCCCAACCTCCCAACCCCATGGCTAACCTCGTACTTATAAGAATTCGTGTGCCACCGTTTTCGAACACACACACACACACACACACACACACACACGCATTATGCTATACTGCAAACTACAATTGTGTGTAGTTATACGTATAGGTATATCGTATATGTCATAATATAGTATAATAATATATGTCGAACAGGTCGAATATATTTTGTATATTGAGTGTCGAGTTGAGGTGTTCCAAGAAAAATAAATAATTTTAATACATCGTCCACGACACATTTACAAAAAAAAAAAAAGTTTATATTAGTACTTATTTATTTAATTATTTTTGAACATTTAATATGAATTAAACTTAATTGTCAACTATATTTTTTTAAATTATAGGTGTATGCTTTTTGTCCATCATTGAAATAAAAAGTACTAGATTATACATTTATACAGAAATTGAACAAAAGCTAAGAAAATAAAACAATAAATTTGAGTAGAACGTATTCCCAGCAAGTTTGAATGAATATCATTATTTTAGAATTTAGGGTGACAATATATGAAAAAAGCAATGTAGGTACTCTGCAGCACACAAAGAAATGTTCGTTCAAACTTTATGCTGGGGATAACAATTTTTTTTTTTTATTGATCTAAAGACATCGGCGACAACGGCCATTAGTCGTAAACGTTGATTACATTTTTTTTCAAGTATCATAAATATATTGTTTAAATTAAATTTGTACAATTCATATTTTCTTAAAAAAGTCAAGATTTGTAGTGTAGTCGTGTAGAGTCTGCATTTGGACCGAGGGCTGCATCTAGAGTGGTTGGAATGTTCAGTTGAATGAGTGCATCTGTGTATTGACGGCATTCTGTGAGGATATGTTGGACTGTTAGTTCGGTACCACATGTTGTGCAGATAGRTTTTTCATCTTTTGACATGAGGTAACCGTGGGTTAATCGAGTATGCCCGATGCGAAGTCTGTTCATAATTACTCCTYCTCTTCTTTTCGAGAGGAAGTTGGGCCAACTGAAAATTGAGTTTTTAATTTTTCTCAATTTGGTGTTTTGTTCGAGCCAGTGAGTTTGCCATTTGATTTTGATCAGTTCTTTAATTTGGTTTTTTGTGTCTGCGAATGTAGAAATATTTAATATGGGTATATCAGTGTGTTCTACTGCTATCTTGGCTTCTTGATCTGCCTTTTCATTGCCCTCTATGTCGTTGTGCCCCKGGATCCATATTAGTGAAATTTTGATTCCAGTTTGATAAACTAGGCTAGTTTTGGATAACAATTGTTTTACTGTTTAAGAGCTTATAATCCCCGATTTCTTTAACAAGCAGTATTATGATGAGGTGGCTTGGTGACAAAATATCAAACCTTAACGCAAATAGTAAAATAAATAGCCTATGTATATCTTAGATAACGCCATCTGCAGCACATTAGACAGCAAGACATCAGCTTTAAGTAGTGATAGTGCGAGCGCTCTGCGATGTTGTTAAATCTCCGGACATAGGTCAAGCGATAGACGACGTTTGGCTTACTTTTTTTCAATCAAAAATCAGTGCGTTTTTATTTCATTCATATACGTATCTTAACAACGTAYTTGGACACTTGGTGCATACCTACTACTAATGAAATAATTCAGGTCACTACCTGTATGGCGGCTTTCAGAAAATAAAAATAATAAAACCGATGATCATATTAAACGTTCTAGCGTTCTAGTAATYTATCGTTGTTTGAAATTCGATTTGAATACATAAATACTTTTAAAAAGTCCACTAACTTACAATTTATAGGGAAAAAAGAATTACCATAATTTTCATTGAAAAAGAGGTTTTTATGCCACAGGTCAATACATAATATCATAATATTTATATGGTTTAAGAATCTAATTACCTATTTCAAAATATGGTCTTTAGGTATAATAGATACCTTGATTATTATTAATTATATAGTGATTAAGGAATCCAGGAACTCTATAAACACCCTAAAAAAAAAAAATGTAAAATGTAATCCCATAAACATGTTACATAGGTATATCGGTATATGTATACACAATTATAGACGATAGTACGATACATAATCCGAGARGTCGTAAAAAAGTTTAAAAAGTTCAAAAACACTACTCTGAAATAGCGYCAAAATATAATTTAAGTCTACACAGTGTTTTTTAGGCATATAGCCATGTACCTATATCTAATACTACAATAAGTAATTGCTGTAATTTACCTCACTTCCCGCTCTTATATTTGTGGTTAATTATACACCATGCGACTAAACCAAACACGTCGCCTAAAAATTCCAGCACTAGGATTGAATAGACACACTGAACCGCGACAGACGACAGTCTTGACACCGATGAGTTTTCGAAACCAAAAACGACTTGCTAAAATATATGCTTGAGATACCTAAATAGCAACCGGAATCTATATGTAGGTATTTACTAACGAGTTGGTGAGGTCATTAAGTGTTATGCCCAATAATTCCTACGCGACATTAAATTTATCGATGACCTTAACTCGATCACTCTTTCGGATAAAGGCGATAGACCACACGAGTGAACACGAGASTGCGGCGCGTTATATGTTACTGAATTCAAATTTCAAATCGTGAGGAGCCCACGGACGGCGGCGAACGCGCGTCGACTTCGGCTCGAGGCTTTTGTCGGACTACAGGTGGTACAATGTACAATATAACCATACATAATGATAATAATAATGTACCTGGTGGCGTTATCGTATAGTGGTGGTGTGTGCATATAAGAGCGGTAACCACGGGCTACGGTACGAAAGGTTGATGGTTGGGACTGTTGGAAGGAGGTGCGTGATTATGTAGGCAGGCGCGACCAACTAACAAATCACAATGATACAAGTCTAGCAACGGTGTCTGGTAAGCCACGATTCAAGACATAGGTATCTTAATAATATCTTCAATCGTGAATATACAAAGGTGTCATGGAATAAAATTCAAAAAATAGACTAATTACACACATTAATCATAATAAAACACTTTATTCAATAATGATAATATTATCTAGTATATGTGGCTGGTTATAAATAATAAGTTTTAAAAAAAAAAATCGACAATKATATTTTATATTAAGTGTTCAAAAATAATAAAATAATACAAGTAATTCAAGGGAAAAAATAAACTATAATATAAATTTTATTAAATCTAATTATTGGAATGGCTAACTGATTAATCATCAAGAAATTAATTATACAGCGATTTAAATTATTTAAGTGACTTTTTAAAAAGGGCAAACAAAATTTAATTGCTGAGTTATACATTATAAATATAATTTTTTAGACAAAAATCATAAAAATTAAGACCACCATAAATCTAAAACAACATTTATTAAATTCTAATGAGCAATTCAATTCACTTAGTTTGTCTTAGCATTATATCAGTCTGTTTATGGGTTTCAAAATAACATTTCTCCTATAGTTTTTTGGTATATTTTGTACATGCTTTAACTATCATTAACATAAAAAAAATATAATAGGATTTTAGTTACATTAAAAAATCCAAATTGTGGATATGTATGGAACATTCAACCATCTACACTGTGATATGTTATAAGAGGATTTGTCCTCAGCTTGAGTTGATTATATTGTACTATGTAATATAATTTAAATTTAAAGGCACTTAAGTTAATCGTAAACATAATTTACTAATGTTTTGATTTTCTACAAAAAAAAAAAATATTAATAATAATAATAATAATAATAATTGGCAAAACCACCAAATATTAAAAAAAAATTATTCTACTTAAAATCTGAGTCATTCTTTCAATAGTCATAAAATTTGGTGTCGTGTGACAATAATTAAAATGTAACATATAAGTACAAAATAATATGACTAAAATCTAAAACTAGTGTTTGTAGGAACCCATAATTAACACCCTGAAAACCTGAACATTTTGGGCTTTAGACCTTTTTGTTATTATTTACAAATTATTATCTTCATAAGTTACTTGATATGTATTTGTATTTGGCACATTAGATGGTAGATTTTGCTTCCCTTGTAGATCAACCTGTAACTAAACAATACAATTTTATTTATTTTTTATTACAATAATGAAGGTAATTATTATGGTAATAAAATAATTATTTATTTAGCGATCTACAAAATGAAATTACAAATTAACAACAGAAATTATGTAATTATGAATCAATTTTAATAGACTGGTATATTTACTTCATTTTTCAATTTTTCAATAACAGATCCAGACTGCGATTTAAGATCATTAGTATAACGTTTTGTATGATGTTTGAACTGATGAGTAACTAAAAATTGACTTGTAGCAAACCGTTTCTTRCATATGTCACACACATACGGTAACTGATTATCCTCAACTTCATTATGTGTCGCCATATGCATATCGTAATAGTGTTTTACAATAAATGATTTACCTATTAGAATGAACATTTAAATTTAAAAGTTTACGTCAACATACAAATTATTTTAAAACTTTAGAATATAAAACCWACCACAAACTTCACAGACTAGAGGACCAGTCACTCCATGTGTGGTTCGATGTTTGTGAAGATTATCTTTACGACTAAAATGTTTATGACATAAATCACATCCATACAATCGTTGACCTGTGTGACTTAACATGTGACGCATAAGATGTTCTTTACGGCTAAATGATTTAGAGCATGTCTCACAACTGTATGGTCGTTCCCCTGAAGAAATAATTTTTATTTTTAAATTTAATAAAGAATTTGATTTAATTGAGACAGATCACATAGATTTAATGAATACAACATAATAATTAAAACAATCATAATATCATTTAATTTTGACATTTTGTAAGTTAAGGAATCAAAACAATATACAAAATGAAACATTTGTATAAAATAAGGAATAAGCCATAAGATTGTATTAATACTAACATATCTTATTATTACGGATTCTATAAAAAGGGGGCAGGCAAACCTAAAGCATGCAAGCAAAAGGTAGCACATTGGTCAAATTTCAATGACATGCGAAAAGTTAAAATTATAAAAAATGTTGAACATAAGAAATTCAAAAGAACAAATTATAATATCCTATATAACATTTACTATGTACTACTTAGTATTTACAACTTTGGGTACATGAAAAATTTGGCACTTGATACATGAACATTTTGCCACCTCTGTTTTATAACAAACTTAAGTATTAACACGTTTATTATGTAACTGCCATCAGTCATACAACATATTTTTAATTCCTATTGGTATATAAAGTATACTATTTTATTTGAAAAACATTTGTTTTTTAGAAGAAAAAAAATATGTTTATTAGGACAAATAAATTGCATTTATTTCCCTTACTCTCTTTATAGTAGCGTTGTATAAAAGTTGATAATTTAAAAATCATACACATTTACAGTTGACGATAGTCATGTGACGTGGTAGTGATGATCAAATATGTGTACTTAACATTCACCAAAGTATACAATTTGAGAAATACAGATAACCACTAGTAATCACGTGGCAGTCAATATGTTAATTATCAATAAAAGTTGGTTAAAACATTTACCAGTATGAAGTTTTCTATGTTGAATTAAATGCTCTTTTCTTTTAAATTTTTTCTCACAGATATCACAAGGAAATCTTGGAGGCATCATATCTCTAGCACTTCTGGTCGGCAAATTAGAAACACTTCTGTTATTAATAGCTTTGCACATCTGACTGTGCATAACAATTTCTTCCTCAGATTCTAATACTTTCCCACATGCAGTGCAAGATGCAAGAGCTCCATCCGTGGGTAAAAACCCATTCATATAAGTTTTGTCACTAGACTTACTATTATCCAAATCTGAATCTTGATCATTACTTAAAAAATAAAAATACACATGGAATAAAAGAAATCAAACATAACTTAAAATATTTTTTCAATTAATTAAATATTTAATCATGATAAAAACTCACTCAGATTTATTAAATTGAAAATGAAGCATCTCTGGTTCAACAGTTAATGGAGTCACATAACTTAAAGAATGTATGTTCATTTCAGAATCTTCTTTATCTGAACTAGGAATATCCTTGAAAAATAACAAAACATCTTATTAAAATCATAGAGGTATCCGTAAATCAAAATAATAATGATATTTAAATTATTTAATTTTATAATAGCCATAGTAAATAGCATAAAATGATGAGAACTATCTTTTTTGGTGATTCTGATCACGCTATTTACTAAACAATATCAATGATCAAAAGTATTAAAGCRTAGTACATACACAGATAATATTTAAGAATTTTGTAATAATATGAATATATTACCTTGACCTCATTTATTGGCTACGTAATATGTTACATATCAGATATGAAAACCCATGACATTTTTTAAAAAGATTATTACCACTTAACATATACTTATTGTCACTTATGCTCTTAATTTGTTTATAATAATAGGTACTTGTTTGTTATGGCCCCGCCAGTACAGCGTATAAAATTTATCTCCCCGCCACTTTTGTTTGTTATCGGCCCGGGTTTAATAAATAAAATATATTATAATACAATAAAAAAATTTTAAAAAATGCATTATAATTACAAAGGAGGTCATTTAAATTTAAAAAATGTATTACAATTATAAATTTAAAAAAATAATAATATAAATTTACAAAAGAGGCCAGAACTCAAAAATATTTTTTTATTATTATATTTTATTAAGCCAGTAACGTACTAATATATTATTAATTATTTGATATTATATTAGTATGATATAAAATGTCTCGTAAAGTATAGTTATTTCCTAAAATATTTCCCAAAATAGATCCATCTATCACGAGCTAAACACGATAACTGTATGGCGGGGGCGATAACAAATAAGAGTGGCAGGGAGATAAATTTTATACGATGTACTGGCGGGGCAATAACAAACAAGTACCTAATAATTTATTTAATATCTCATCAATCATTATTACCTACAGTTGATTAAGTTTTACATTCCATTCCCATACATCTGGGATTTTTACCAGATTCTTTCCACTACAATTAACCAGTGTTTCTTGCACACAATTTTCTTAATTTATATAAATTATTTTATTTTACTATAAAACAGCTTTGAGTTATGATAGCTCAAAATATAATACTTACAGGTATAGAATAAATAGTTTGAACATTTTCACTAGCATCATTTTCTTCATTAGATGAATCTGTTTGAAGCGACTGATTTGAATTATTGGCAACTGTATAGTTGTACTTCATGGATTCAACTCCATTAGTTGTACTAGTTATAACTTGCTATTGTAAAATAAAAATTGATGAATGAGAAATAAATAAAAATCTTTTTAATTTAAATCAATAATAACTAACCTGCATATTGTCATATTTACAAAAATCTTGACATCTACTGTTTATATCATTAACTATTTGTATTGAACCAGATTGAACAAGATTAGACAGACTTTGAATCATATGAATAGATGATGAATGGTTAGAGCTATCATTTTTCTTAGTACTTGAAGAATCATTTTCTAAAGATTCTCGCACATAAACCTGAAAAAATAAATAGTTTTTAAATCAAAACAACGATGACAAGGGATTTGAATTATTAATATTTTGGGTTAAATTATGTAGTTAATTGCTGAACAGACAAATGGAATAGATATTATTTTTGTTTCATTATTATATACTATTTATTATGATTCAAGATTGATGCAAAAACTAATGAATAGTAAGGTAGGCCAACTGCAGTACTGTCAAACAAACTATTTTAAGGGCCAGTTGTACCATCTACAGTTAAACTTCGATTACGCTTAATCAGCTGATAACAGATATTTAACTGTGCAAATTCGGCCGATTAAACTCTRGTTAACTTTAATCAGAGACGGTACAACTGGCCCTAAGCCTGTCACTTGTAATTAATCACTTATCACATTAAAAAAAAAAATAACATTAATAAAAATAACTTACTTTTCCTTGGCATTTTGCTTGATCGGAAACACTTAAAGTTGCACAGTAACTTTTTAACATAGATTCAGTATTTACACATTGGTCTATAAAATCATAAAATTCTTCCATTTTTGTTATACAATTTTCACATACTCCTTTTGGTAAATTATCAGTTTCTTTGATCTAAAAATGAATAAAAACAACAGGTATTATTCTATTGGTGATCTCAATAAATTATTACCAAACTATAGCATTATGAAACTAAAAACTTGTTAATTAAAAATGACAATAATAGTCATTACAACATAATATTTTCAGATTATTGAGAATAACATAATTGTTTTTCAAACGACCACTACCTCAAATATAAAGACAACAAAGTTTAAATAAAAATTTAGTACAAAAATGTACAAGTGATGGGCACCATGTTCAAGTTGATTACATCAGGTAAGTACTAGAAGGTGAACAAAATGAATTGTCCATGCCCAACTTCCTTGATGTTCACTCACCTGCAGGGGTATACACTTTTTCAGTTTGAACTGTAGTTGCCGATCGCTGCTCTCTTGGCTCTTGAATAAATGGTGTTTCTTACCACCTACGCACATGCACAGCCGACACAGCTCGTAAAAGTCAACCTTTTTGTAAATGCTCATTGTATGGGGATTTTTTTGTTTTTAATGGGGGTGGCACACGCGATTTTATTTTATCCCATACACGATGTAGTTATTCCGAGGCGGAGATTCGACAACCCCGCCATTTGCGCGCTGTTTTTTAGTTTTTGGCGTTAAAACGGGTAGCGAACGCGGCGGAGTAAGTTGTTGACGACTGTTGTCTGTTACTCTGTTAGTACTTMGTATTTATTGTTGTTGTTGTCGATAGCCACCGAGTGCACCACATGCATTATTGCACATTTGTACATTTTGCAGGTTTGCACTAACCAGTAACCCTAGTTCATGCCGTTCATGGTAGGAAGTAATCGCAGCTGCAACTGATAACAGCGACGGCCACGGTAGGCAAGGCGCAACCATGGTGTTGAATTCTGGTAGAAACTTACTATGTATACTACAGTATACAGGAAGATTCACCAACCAAGCGCTTCTTCCCTCCAATTTTTCAACAATTTTCAAATAATTTGATTTATTATTTTATTCAATAATTGTTATTAACAATTTGTTAACTAATAACATTAATCAGAATAAATTATTCTGATCAGTTTAACTTGTAAGAAAATGCTTAAAGATCACATTTTCAAATAGRTACTTAGTTTTATTATACCATTAAAGGGTCTTTTTTCTTACTTATTGACTATAAAATTTGAATAGAAAGTTCCTCATAAGTTAATGTAATTTGTTGGTGGGAATTTATATATGATATTTGAAAGCAGAAAAAGTAATATATTTTTTCATAAGCAACTCAAAAAATATAAAAAATTTGCAGCTAGTAGGTACATAAAGCTTTATTAATTATACTATTTATATAACGAAAACTGTTATATTAATATTATAATGTATATGTAGCTAGTTATATTACTATAGTCTATATATAGTCTCAAGTCTATTCAAAAGTCAACGGGATCAATGTACCAACTTACCCCGCAACTTACTCAACATAGGACCACCGCCGATCCATCGCCACCTTCGACGTAGACGACCGCACGACCTACTTGCATAAACGCCATAAACAAACATTCTAGCTAAGCCACTCAAATTTGTCACAGTCTCCATGCATGTTATATACAACATTTATTGTTAATTTATCGTTAATTTATCTCATTATCTGTTTTTTTTAAATTTTTTTTTCTTATAGTTATCTAATTCAGAATTCTTGTTAGGGACGGTCCTGATCACTCTGTATAGCAATATTTTTCTTTGCTATGCAAGCAGCCTGCTGCTGCTGCCATTTTGTTTCCAATGATAAAATTATAAATTTCAGTATTTCACTAAAATGTCAAAAACTCACCACCCGAATTTCGTACAACTTGACAGTCGGCAGTCGGCACTTGCTGATTCGAAGTGGAAACACTGGAAATATATTAACTGCGTCTTTGGAATTTCGACTAGGGTGGTAATGTTAGTTCAGGAAGAGAGAACTATAAAAATATATTATATTATTAATTAGGCTCTGTATTCTGTAGACTGTAGTAATACTAGTAAGTAGTAATACTAGTGACAAGTAGTAGTAAAGCTTGTMTAATAATTTTGAACCACTTTTGAATTAAACAATATTATACCAATAGAATTTTGTTATTGAATCCCTCGTCATATTATTGTGGTCGGACTGTTTGCCGTTATCACGATACCCACTCTTAATTTGTGTAATCGGAACGTCCAAACTTTGGTAATTTGGTAATAAACTGGTTAGGTAACCATACCTAAAACCAAAACCAAACCTAACCTACCGTAACCGTTGTACTGTCAACCGTCTGCTGTCGCKGATTCATTTTTCCCAATTATTAAATTATCATCACTATAAAATTATGATAGGTACTTTCGGTCTTAACTCTTAAGAGTAAAGTTATGCACTAGTGTAGTGTAAATACTAAATAAGTAATTTTATTTTACTGTTTAAGTTCAAGATTTAAACATAATAATACGTCAAAATCGTAGTCATCTATTTAAAATCGTTYTTTCTATGTATTGTTGATGTACGTAACTGCAATTTAATTACAATTATTAATCTAGTACGCTAGTATTTACCGCCGTTTATGTATCGTCTGTATTCGTATTATAATATATTATATACAACTGGATAAATTCTAACTTAAGATCTATTTTTTTTCGATGATATCAATAATATGCTCAAGAATTAATTTCTGCGACTTCTATGCTTATACAATTATTACTATTATGTGTAGCAAMAGCAGCTAATATTAATTTTAAACGGTTGATTTGTGACATTTGGTTAAGACAAATTTTTTCAAATGTCTAGCGATATGTCTTCGAAGGCGGAGGATGTTTTGTCATTGGACATCACTGCGGATGCAGCTGGTAAAGCATTTCGCATGAGTGATGGTGACTGGATCTGTCCAAACGCTCAGTGCGCAAACATAAACTTTGCTCGTCGCACTCATTGTAATCGATGTAATAAGGAACGTGAAGACTTACCGGTCAAGAAAAAAGCTGGTGCTGAAATTGGAAAGGCAGCTGCTGAAAAGAGTAAAGGGCTGTTCTCAGCCGATGATTGGCAATGTAGCAAGTGTGGTAATGTGAATTGGGCACGTCGATCTCAATGTAATATGTGCAATGCTCCTAAATTTGCTGATCCAGAAGAACGTACTGGTTATGGAGGTGGYTACAATGACAGAGGAGTTGTAGAGTATGTCAGACGTGAAGAGTCTGATGATGAGTATGATGAATTTGGACGAAAGAAAAAAAAACAAAAACGAGGATGTGGATCTTTAAGTGAGGATTCCAACAGTCAAAATGGTAAAGAAGAAGATAACAACGATAGAGGAAGAAGTAAAACATGGTCAAAATCTATTGTTGAAAATGATGATGATGAGGAGGAAGAGGATGATGAAGATGATGATGATGATGATGATGATGAAGATGGAGATCTTTCAAAATATGATTTATCTGAATGGGATGACTTAGCTGCCCAAGCCAAAAGAGATAGATCAAGATCTAGATCACCATTAAAATAATTATGCTTTAATTATTTTGTAAGTATATCATTGTAATAATGACTTAAAATCTGACTAGGTAAGAAGAAGTAAATATATAAAATATCATAATTTTCAGTAGCTTAGCAGGAGTTCAATCAAGAAGTGGTGGCTATTAAAATATATCATTTTATTGCCTATGTTGCCTTTAACCGTGATTAAATCATCACYAATAACATATTCCAAGGAAGGACATCCCCCCAYGTCTGATCATATTTATCTAATAAGAWATCTGAAATTTATTAAACATATACTATATTTTTTATTATCTCAGACTTGTAATAACAAAACTAAATTTTTATTTTGAAATTATAAAAAACTCCAGTTTTCCAAATTTTTTTTTTAACCTACCAAAATACTAAAACAATATAGAAAGTTTAAGATCTCAGTTTTAAAGTTTTTGTTAGTTTTATAGTTTCTTTTGAAATTTTACAATTACTAAACTTCTGTTATAATAATAACAATACTAATAATATTATGTGTTTGTTATTTTTCAGTTTATGTTATGGCTATTTACAATTTTGTTGACCAATCTACAATCAATATTTTTCAATAAATCAACCATACCACAAAATAATTTAGTAATTAGATCATTTTTTTTCTGATATTTTATTTATTTTGAACACTGTATCAATTTTAACTGTTACATATTATTTTTAATTTACTTCTATGAATTGTATGTATGCATAAAAAGCCAAAATACTAAAACTATGTCTTTAAAATAAGTTGTACAGCTTTTGTCATTTTAAATATTTCCAATTTATCTTGAGTGTTTATATTATAAATATTTAATAATATATTTCCTTCATTTCACATATATTTAAAATGTTTATATTTAATATTTTCACCTACTTTTGAAGAAAAAAGAATATTCTCACTTTCTATAAAACAAAAACGACGTATATTAATATTTTCACCTACTTTGGATCAATTAAAATTATATTAATCTGTATTCTGTTGCAGACAGTATTAATATCTCTTTCCAGCTACACGTCATGCAATATTAAATTTACATAGATATGTTGTATTCTATCTAATTAAAGCAACATCTTCTAAGTACTAATTTTTTATTAAAATATTCACAAAAGCCATTATTTGAATTACCAAAACTCTTTATTTTGATAGTTAAATATCATGTATTTACTATTTATCATAAACCATTCTGTTTTATTATTGAAAATGATTTAAGATAAAGTATCAATAATAAGTAAMMTGCCTAATTAAAGTTTTTGTATTTTTTATGGAATTGTTTTTATTTTCATATTTGTAATTTATAATTTGTAAACATGATACAATTCCTACTTTTAAAAAATTTTCAAATTGGAACTTCTATATTGAATTTTGTAGAATTAATTGACTGAAATAATAATAATGCATATTAGTTAAACTGTATAAGTCATTTGATAATCATGTATTGAAAATGATGAATTTTGAGATTCCATGATTACAGAGTTTGGATTATCAACATTTTTAATACAAAATTATTTTATACTTTATGACTATTGTGTCATTGGTCATTATTACAAYTACAACTTATAATGAAATATTGTGTTTTTAATTATTATAGTAGTATGTAACTGAAAATGTTAAATTGTTAACAATAATAAAGATTCAATATTGTTATTACTATCAATTTTTATTTTTTTAATGAATTGAACCTTGGCTAGTTTATTATGCATTTATTTTTAAACTAAATCTAAAAAGCTGTAACGTGAACCTTTAAGAGTTCAATTTTTGTTTTTGTATAACTCATAATGTATACAAATGTTCACACTAAGATGAGGTAGGTACCAATAAATATTTCAGTTTGATTACCTTGTATTGAAATGGGGTTTTGCTGAATGACAGATAGTGCTTAAATATACATTTTTAGATAAATTTCAAATTTTTAACACTTTCAATACGCACATGCGCGATACATACTACTTACTTTTTTTCAAATGGTAATACTAATTTTTTTTAAATATTTGGATAGAGTATTTTTTTTAACAATTTATGTATAAAAAGTTTTTTTTTAATCACTAAATTGGCATATAAAAATGTATTATTTTTATTTATAAACTAGAAAATGGTACAATCTGTAAAATAATGATTTACAATAAAACCAAGTGATTTAAGAATTTTAGAAAAGATAAAATAACAAACAATAAGTTAAACTTAGTTTTGATTATTTACATCAGTTCTGACAGGGGGCCTGAGTGAAGAGGCCATCCATTGATGGTACTTCGTGACATGTGGTGGTGGGGGTTAGTATATTAGTAGTTCCCGCACCATGTTCGTTTGAGATGCCTTCTGGGGTCACCAGGAATAGTGGGAACTGATAGTTTTGAAATCAAGGCGTTATGATGATTGTGGAGTTTGTAGAAGATCTTGGCAACATTTTTTACCRTTTGGATAGATAGATCTTTATGGTGATTGTCATTTAAGACATAGACGGGACTTGGGTTATTTGACCTAAAGACTTAGATTGGAATAATTGGATTTTAGCATTATTGGAGGTTCTAGCTTAAGTGGCACCCCATAATTGAATTCCATAAGTCCATATTGGTTTGAAGAGTGGTTTGTATAGGAGAAGTTTATTTTTAATGTTAATGTGATAAGTTATTAAGAGAAAACGTAAAATTGAAGAGACCGGTKGTTTAGAGTGAACCGTTTGGTGTGGATATGCGTTGCTCAGGTTAGCCGATGGTTAAGGCAGTTAAGGTGTAGACAGTAGACTTAATAGTAGCAAACATTTTAGGCAGATTGTAGTGTATTGTGTAACATGTAAGATGATTAAGGTGCATATGACTATATGAGGGCAAACAGCTTATCAAAGGATGAACTGTGGATGGATTTGGTTTCATTAATGGTTATCCCCCATGCTTTGTACCAGATCGAAAAAYGGTTTAGGTGGTTTTGGATGAGGTTTGAGGCCGTTTCAGGATTTGAGTAGAGAGCCAAGAGTGCCTTGTTGTCGGTAAAGTCCCCAGTTGTGGGTTGATTAGAGGTGAACAAGTAAAATAAAAGTGGAGCTGCAACCATTCCTARGGGGACAACGGCACAGTTCGGAAATATTTTGGATATAGCTTAAAAGATCCTAAACGGACGGTGAGGCTTATATAATTTAACGATGAAATTTAATACCTGGTAATTTGTTTTTGAAAATATTTAAACTGAATTMAATTTATTAAATTAGCACTCTCATTTCAGAAGAATGAATGAAAAAAATTAGAGTGACAAAAGTGTTTATTTATATCTTATCTGTGTGCAAACAGGTATTTAACAATATTATTAGATACTAATAGGTAAACACAAGTTGAATTTAGTTTAAATTTCGTCAAAAACAAATTACTCGTAAATTTCATACACCGATTTTGTAATTAGAAAAAAACTTTTTAYACATAAATCGTTTTGATTCGTGGATAGAATATACTTATATAAACATTCGGTGAAAATTTACATCAAAAACCAAAATAGATTTTGTCGAAAACTGATTGTGCGTACAATTTCCCGTTTTCCCCTTAATTTTTAATTTGTTTATCACGATTATTTAGAAAAATATTGTTAAGTTTTTACTTTTGACCCCYTCCCTAAAAAGTACCAACTAGATTCACTTTCTGATCGAACGAGATACTGAAGTCGAAAATCGATGCACTTTTACTGCCCCCAAAATGTGATGACAGACACACAAAACAAAACACACATCATCATGGTAAAATCATTATATTCCTGGCTCCGCTCAGAATCTAAAMGTAAGTTGTATTGCGCATTTGGRTATCGAAAGTGTTAAAAATTTGAAATTTATCTAACAATATGTATTTGAGTACTATCTGTCATTCAGTGAAAATCCCATCTCAATACAAGGTAATCGAACTGAAATATTTAGTGGTATTACCTCTTAGCGAGAGCACAACTGTATAGGTATTGAACTTATTGAAGTGTATAGTAGGGAGGTAGGTACAACATATTTTTTATTTACATATAATATATCATGAAATAGCCAAAAGGTGTAAAAAAAATATAATATGCTAGTCTAATACCAGCTTATATTATATAAAGTGTTAATGGATTAATGTATTATTAATAACATACTTTATTTTCAATATCTTCTACACCTATTATTTTAAATTATTATTATCATTTGTAAAAACAGTCTAATAATTCAGAAACTAGCAATCTAATTATTTGAATTTATATTTATATTCATCAACATTTTGTGTAAAAAAAAGTGGTAAGTTACGCTGTAAATAACTGCATTCGCATATTTTTTAGATGTTTTTAGATGTTGTGACCCAGTAGCGCCGATTACCTGTGATATATCTATGTCCTATGACATATGTTACAGTAGATTTTATAGATGTGAGGGCGGAAGCTCACGCCGTAAGATACTGATCTAGTATTTACGTTTAAACGTAAAAATACCCCTATATTTGCGCTCTGCTGTTCTGATTTTTCGTCTTCTGATGAACATTCTGCAAAATATTATTACTATTATACGTCATGCTGTAATTATTTTCTATTTAGTATATATATTTTTTCTTTTAAAAAGTGAATATTTGAAAAATATTATTCATTTTGTAACTAACTTATAAATATGAGACAAATGTTATTTTTTGATAACACCTAAAATCACTAAAAATATGTGGCTCACTGATTGTTTATTTAGTAATTTGTATTTTCTAACAAAATATGTTTGTACAGGTGGGACTAGTCCTTAGAATTATCGTCAGTAACACGCAATAACATAATTATTAGACGATAACCACCACTGCAGTGTTACAATAAAAATTTATTTCATCACGATTGCCTATATTAACCTTCTTACAATGAAAATAATTACTTTTTAAAAACCAATACAAAGTTGGATTTGATAATTCAAAACTATAAATATAAACATAAATTAATTAGGTATAAAATATAAATA